AATGATAGAAGTAATGATATTAATGATAATCATTATGAGGAGGGAGATTATGATAATAAATGGATTTAAATAATAATCATGTATACTTAATAAATAATGACATTTAATATTGATAAAATATAAAATATAATAATAAATTTTGATTTTTATGTTTAATATATTACAATCAATCAAAATAATCGATATCGTTGCGATAAATTTGATCAACATGTTTATCAATTTAATTGGTTAATTTATTAGTACTTCAGTATTAATCAAAAATTTTATTTTTGGTGATTGAATAGTATCTGTTACTATTCAAGAAGAATATTTTGTAAAGGGGTACTAATGTCAGTGCTATACGATATACCCTTAACTTTCATCTTACGAACTCTACCCTTATATATACATTTTTAATTTTAATTAAAAATGTGATTGTATTTTCTTTTCTATTAAAATAAACAACATAAACAATCATTTTAACAAATATTATATAAATGCATATATGTTATTTTTTTTAAAAAAATATATTTTTGATTAATTATTTAATATTATTAGATTATTAAAAATTTAGATTATATCCTCCTTAAACCAAAGTATTTTTTATAGTATAGTACTCTTTAAAATTCACAAATGTGTATTATACCCAAATATTTTAATCAACTTTTTACAGTATTTGAATTTATTGTATTTTATTTAATTATTATTAATAATTTTATTATGATTAATATTTTACAAAATTAAATTGCTAATTATTTCTATATAAGAAGATATAATGTGTAATGTTTAACTAGAATCTAATTAATTTACATATTTAATATGATTATAATTAAATTGTAATATGCAAATTTCTATAAAATTAAACTTTAATTTATATTATTTATTAAAATTTATATAAAGACCAAATTGGGACTATTCAAATTAAGTCTCAAAAATTAGGATCAGATTTTACTAAGATTAAGATCAAAGACTAAGTCCTAAAGTTCTGAACTATAACTTTTCTATTCTTTAGTTTCAGTCTGCTTAATTAATAGTTAAGTAATATTATAAATTTATAAAAAGAATTTAATATTTTTTTATTTTTTTTTTATATTTCAATTGATCTATTTATAATTTAAAAAATTTAATTATAAAATTATTTTAAAAAAATATTAATTTATTATATTAATAAACTTTGATAAAATTAATTATTTATATTTTTTAAATTTAATAAATTTTTTAAATACAAAAAAAATGTGAATTAACTTTAAAATAGTTTATTAATAAATAAGTATAATTTTATATAAAAAGATTTAATATTACTTTTTTTTTTTATAAATTTATTTTTGATAAGTAATATTTAAAAAATATAATTTAATATAAAATTATTTTAATAAAAATAAATAAAATTTTTTAGTTTATTAGATTTTATAAAAAAAAATTAAATAGTTATTAATATATTTTTCTTAATAAGTTTATTTTTAATCAATTATAATTTTAAAGAATTAAACTTTAATGTTAAAAAAAATTAAGTAATTTATTAAAAATATTTATATTTACTTTTTTTATTGTAAAACATTTATATTTTCTTTTTTTATTTAAATTTTTACCTTTAATCAATTAAAACTTACCTTTTAAAATCTAATTCTATTAGATTTTAGTAGTAGGAATAAATCTTATATTAATATAATAATAAAATGATAACTATTATGGGTTATAATAAATTTTTTATTTTAAGTGATAATAATAAGTTTAATATTAATATAAAAGTAAAATTATTTAATTTTAAATAATAAATTTATTAATTATATTAAGGAGTAAATTGTTTTTAATTAAATTATTATTAAAAAAATTAATATTAAAATTATTATATATTATTTTGATTTTATATATTAATAAAAAAATTGTAAAAAGTAAATAGTAATAATTATATGTATTTTCAAGTTTTAATATTTACAAAATTATTTGAAATTGCATATATAATTATGAATTAAGAACCTTAATTATAAAAGATATATTATATTTAAAAGATAAATCTAATTATAACACTTATTATAATATCTTATTTGTAATACCTCAATTTTATCCAATCAAAATTTAAGATCAGGTATAATATCAATAATTTAGCAAATCAAAATAAAAGATTAGTTGTATAATGAAAATAAAAATTTTTTTAAAAAATTTTAAGAAACTGTTTATAACTGAAAATTTTGTCTATGAAACTATTTTTAGTACTTTAAGTAAAAGTTTTTAAAATAAATTTTGCATTTAAAAATCTTATTTATAAAACATATAAAATAATTTATTATTAAGAAAAATAAAAAAAGAGTGTTACAAATAAGACATTGTAACAAGTATTATAAATACATTTTTCATATTTAAATAAATATTATAATTATATAAATTAAAATATAAGTTTATATAAAGTTATTTATTAATGTTTTATATAAATAATATTTAATACTAAAATTATATTTTTAAAATAAAAAATTTTGTTTTATATATATTACAATAACATTTATTATAAAAAACCAATTATTATTACATAATTTATATAATTTGATAAATCAGATCAAATTTAGATTAGATCAGAATTTTTATAAGATACTAATTTTAGACCTTTATAATAGCACTATTAAAAACTTTATGTAATCAAAATCAATCAATAAATAACCAACTAATGATTATCATTTAAACCAATCATATAAAGGTATAAAATCTTTCGTAGATCTTGATTTCTATACATGGAAATGATTTTTAGAGTGTTATTTTTTTTACTGTCAAAAAGCTTCATAATAAAATATTACGTAATAATGTATCGGATTATTATTATTATTATTATTATTTTTAATTGATAAATTATAATTAAATCCTATTTCTATAATATATATAATTTTTATATTTATTATCTATAATCTAATATCTAGCTTGCATGTGTAATATCAGAAAAACGTCATTTTAAACAATTAAAGAAAAATATTAAAATTTTTTTTTTTTAATTTTTTTTTTTTTTTTTTTTAAAAAAAAAAAAAAAAAAAACATATTATTAAAAATAAAAACCAAAAAAAAATATTAAAAAAAATTCTATTAGTTGCAAAAGTATTACACAGACAAAAAAGTGAAACAAAAAATAACTAGGCAGATACATAGTCCGTGATTTGATACGCCATATAGATTATTTTTTTTTTTCGTTTTTTTTTCCTCGTTTTTTTGTTCCACCTGAGGAATAATTCCCATGCATTAAGAAAAAAACCAAAAGAAAACCGCAAACCAAGAGTAAAGTTTTACAGTTATATATAAAAAACAAAAGGTGTATATATATGTATGTTTTGAAGGTATTAAAAAAAAAAATCTACCAGTTTTTTTAATCTGATCTGTTTTAATAAAAGAAATTACGATTTGAGCAAAATGTCTTATATTGATCAGAGATTTGTATCTCATTTTTATGTCGAGGTAGAAGAAATTATTATCCAATGCAAATAGTTAAAAAATTTTGGAATGTTACTCGATAAATCCGGTTCCGGGTCAACCTTAAAAGTTGAAATTTAGGTAAGCCGACCAAGAGGGAAAACGTATATACCAAGAATGAATAAAAAAAAAGATAACAAAAAATTAGAAATAAAAATCATAAAGTTATTTCTTTTGTGGAACAAATTTATATTACATAAAGCATAATTGTCCTTGTTATGTAGTAAAGTTCGCTCAAAACCCTCCAAATCATTTTATCTTCCCATTAATATATATATATACTATGTAAAATAGAAGTGAAATCCGGAAAAAAATAAATATGGATAATCTCGTGATTTTTACATACTCCGAATATGAACATAAATCTAATAAATAATTATAAACAATATCCGCGAAACTATTTTCCTGTTTTCACGACTATTAAATGAAATTTACATATACGCGCGCATGCGCACATGTACTTCAGAAATGTACAACAATTTAAGGAGAAAATAAATAAATAATAAATAAACTTAGCTACACATACTACATGTAATAACGCCGATAAATTTTTGCCAAATTCCACGTCTCCTGTGAGAGTTCGAATCAGCACCATTGTTACCCTGAACGCCTGCGTTGTTTCCACCGTTACTTCCGTTCATACCGGCACGGCCAGAGTATGGGATATTCATATCATCTACCCCAGAATGCATATTTGCACTATTATGTTTTTTTGCTGACCCTCGCTGTGGTTTTGTACTTGCATGAGCTAAAGCCGGTGATGGTGGAGTTTGTTGCTGACTTCGATTCACTGATGGTCCACGGTTAAGTGATGAACGAACGTGTCGCGGGTCAGATGAGCCATGATGAATATGGGAAGATTGATGAATAGCTGCATTTGAACTATATTGCTGAGAGAAGATACCGTGAAGTTTTTGGCGGGTGTTAGTTTCAGAAATATGTGTGACGTTATCATTCCGCTATTGAATGTGTGATTGCACAAGCCAAAAGCGATAAGATGATAAAAAATAAATATGAAAAGATTATATTTCATCCATTCATTCGATGGTAAAGCTTATAATAATAATAAATGCTAAAGGAAAAAAATGGAGAACTCAAAAAAAAAGATAATCCTTACCGTACTTGTCTGCCAACCTTTACCACCATTCAATCCCATCCAGTCGTACACACCATCCTCAACTTCATTGGAATTTTTCAAAACTTTGGTAAAAAGCTCTCTCAGAAAGTCATAATCTGGATTCTCTTCAAAACCTAGTTTACGAACATAATTTAGATAAATTCCGAATTCCTCTAATAAAAACAATAAGTGTTATTAGATTGGTGATAATTACATGCGAAAATACAAATTACTCATGACGATATAAATTCTTTATCCATGTATATACCTGGGAAACCATCACATAGCTCTTTGATTGGTGTTGACTGTTTCTTTTCACCGATTTTTTCGTACTTTTGTTTATTGGTAGCTGCCTTTAGTCCTTGCCAAGGTAATCCACCCCTTAAAAAGTACATAAAAACGTGACCAAGAGCTTCTAAATCATCTCTTCTTGATTGTTCTGTAAATGAATATTTAAACGAATTATTTCATTTAAATATATATATATATATATATATAATGAGAAAAATATATATTTTTTTTGAAATTCTATTGCTTGCCTCTTCCCAAATGCGTATTGATACTCATATATCTAGCTGTACCGCTTAAGCTTTTCCTTTCTCGATATGGAATATGCTGTTTTGTTTTTGGATCGCGGTATTGTTTTGCCATACCAAAATCAACAACGTGAACTACATTTGCACCTTTCGTTCCTGGACGACCAATCAAAAAATTATCTGGTTTAATATCTCGATAGATAAGATTCTTTTCGTGAATGGTCTGCACTCGTGTGAGCTGATAATGATCATAGTTAAATATTTATAGATGATAAATAATAATAATAATTTAAAAAAAACAAATCGTAAGTGATCATAATTACATACCATTTGTTTGGCTACCATTACCACTGTTTTGATGGAAAATTTTCTACCACACATATCAAACAAATCTTCCAAACTAGGACCAAGAAGGTCAATTACCAGTATATTATGTAAACCTTCCTGGCCAAAATAATATACGTTAGGTATACCCGCTTTATAAGGAATAATTTTGTATATTTTAATAAAAATGTTCTTTAATATAATTTCATTCAAAATCGATCAAGAAAAAATATAACACATACATGACCCGTTTAAAATTTTATATGTACGATATTCGTCTCTAAGTTGCGGTGCATCACTTTTTCGTGGTTCCTGGATAAATTTAATTCACTAATAAATAAATTACTTTCCATTCAAATTTAATTTAATAATAAACTCTGTGTATAACGTACGAAT